GAATAAAACAAAATACAGTAAAAACTAAAACTGCCTTGTGGATGAGGCTCCAATTCCTTTGGTAGTATTACTGTGTATACATACTAGGGGGTACCCCCCAAAATTGAATTATTTTTTCTTCGAAATTATGTAGTCAATTTTTTTTTACAAAACAGCCTTATCACCTTCAAAGTACTTTCCATTACACTTAATACATTGTCCAATCTGTGATTCCATTCTTAGAAACATTTTTCAAACTCCTCTGTTTAAATGGCTGACAACGCCTCCCTTGGTTTTTATCTTCACCTCTTCTATGTCTCAATCGCTGTCCTTTCATGTCTCTCTGCATCTGTGGAAACAAAAAAGAAGTTGTACAGAGAGCAGTCAGATGTGTAAGGTGCGTGGGGCAAGAGAAGCATGCGTGCTGTTTTCCGCCAAACACTGGTGCACTGAGATGGCTGCATGAGCAGGTGCATGGTCGTGGTGGCAAAACCAGTACCAGGTCTTCCACAGATCAGGCCTTTTTTGGTTGCACACTGTTAACACATTCTTTTCAGAACCTCTACATAGAATGCTTGATGAACAGTCAGACCTGGTGGAGCAAACTCCAAATGCACTAAGAGTCAGCATTTTCATCCGTTCACAGCTGCATGCTGTTTTCTTCAATCAGCCATCATAAAAATAAAAAAATAGGTTCAAGTGAAACTGCATTTACAAAAAAACCCACTGTGACCAGAGAGAACCTTCCCAAGCAGTGCCACTGGGTGCACTAACTTAGAGCAACTTAGTTATCTGCTATTCACCAGCGGCCAGGGAGTTAAGAGGCTGGACTGACTGTTGCCTCTGGGCCTGGGAACAATAAGCTGTGCTGGGGAGGAGTGGGGCCCACAGAAGTGGCTCATGCCGCTGGTCCACAGGAAAGATGAGTCTCTCGGAGGCATTGCTCCTCTCACACTTTAAGAAACTTGGCTCTCCATAGCTTTTAATGACTTGTTTGTAGGACGTGCAAGATGCCCCTCCCATTGGGACGTCTCTGGTGGTTGGTGAGTAGATCTTCCCAAGCTTATGTCTGGTGGTCATATTCCCCCCTGAATCTCATTCCTCTTCTCAGTGCTGCTGTATTCCCTCTCCTCCTTCAATTTCCTGACCAGAAAATAATTGATTTGCATGAAAATCCTTGCCTCAAGGAACCAGGCCTAAAACCTGTTAAGTAGATTCCGACCCATAGAGACACAATACAACAGAACAGTCCGGCCCCAGGGGGTTCCCAAAAGGGTAAAT